TTTTTTTTTGTTAATATGAGGCCAAATTCGGATGCAAGCCGCGTCCTGGCGCCCTCCCAGCCCAATTTAACTCCGGGACTTTCTCCTCCCGCCCGAGCTGGGGCGGCGGAGGCGTCCAAAAGAAATAAAAAATCGGCCAAATTCCGATTTCCCGGGGACCGAGGCGGCGGTTTCCATTTGAAATTCCGATTTTCGAGCCCTCGGACGGGGAATTGAAACCACCCCTGAGCCCGGCGCTCAATTGCGGGAGATTTAGTGCGCTTTAAGCCCCTGCTCGAATTTAAATGTATCATAGGTGGCAAATCAATTACAGCGCGGGCCTGACCCTCGGGAGGATGAAAATTTGACAGGTTTGGGGTTTTTGGTGGGTTTTTTCCCACCTTGCGAGTCAAGTTTGCCTCTTCTCCTGCCCCGAGCAAGCAGCGATAGGGTCGAGTGAAAATAAAGATTTTTTTTAATCTCCAGAGATGTCAACAACGCGCAATTAGCGAGCGGCCGGCTTCAATTAGCGCGGTTTTATTTTCTTTTCAAACCAAAAAAAAAAACCGCCCTGCAAAGAGCCCCTTTCCACCACAAATTATCATAACGAGCAGCGGCTGGGAGATTTTTGAATTTTTTTCCCCATTTTTTAATGCTTTCCCAAACTCTTTCGAGGGATTTATTGGCAGAGCAGTGGCAGCAGTGGCGGAAAACACGAGCGCAAACATTTTTTACATTTTTTTGTTGTTCCTCACGAGCTGGGCTAGCAGGACATCCCAAAAAATGTGCAAATTTGCATGCGGGGGCTGCTCGCGCCTGATAATCGCAGAGCCACCAAAATTGCGAAACTCAACAGAACCGCCCGGCTCCTGCAAAGCTTTTTTTCTTTTTTCTTTTTTTTTTTTTTTTCCTTTCAGATAGAAAGAAATAAGGGGATATAGGGTGGAAATTGCGTGTTTTTTTTAATTTCCCCCCTCTTTTCCCCCCTTTTCTTCTCTACTCATAGCTCCCTCTCAACCTCTTTTTTTTCATTTATTTATTTCTAAATTTTCCCTAATTTTTTTTTTTTAACCCTGTCAACTTTGGGTGCATTCCACACACAAAGGGGAAGCAAATATCGGAGCGATCGCCGCGGGAGGGGGTGGAGGCTGGAGAACCACTTCCTCCGCCTGGTTTTTTTGGTATTTCCTTGAATTCTGCGGATCCCGCGCGGCCGCGGAGCGATCCCGCCCGGGCTGGGCTGACCGCGAGCTTTCCAAGCGCTTCGCTGGTCATAAAATCCCGATTTTCCGAGGCGCTCCAGCCCCTGGCAGGGGAGCGGCGCTGGCAGCTCCGTGCGAGGTGTGCAATCGTCAATTTGTGCGCACAAATCCCAATTTCCAGGGATTTCAGCCCCGCCAGACAGATGGGCACAAATTCGGACAGGAAACAAACCCTTGAGGAAACGCTGCTGGTCGGGGGGGTGGCGCTGGCCTTCATCTAGGTGGATTTTCTTGCCTTTTTTTTTATTTTTTCTTTCCTTTTTTTCCCCTTTTCTCCTTTTTATTTTCCTTTTTTCTTTTTCTTTCCTTTTTACTTTTCCTTTTCCTTTTTTCTATTTATTTCATTTTTCTTTTACTTTTCTCTTTTTCTTTTCCTTTTTCCTTTTCCTTTTTGCTTTTATTTTTTCCCTTTTTTATTTTCTTCCCCCCCCCTCTTTTTCTTTTTTTTTTTTTTTTTTTTTTTTTTTTTTTTTTTTATTTTTTTTTTTTTTTTTGTTTTGTTGCTTTTTTGACCGCGTCTTTCTGCTGCTGTGTCTTTGATTATTCCCCCCCTCCTTTAAAAGCCAAAAATACCCCAAAAAACCAAAAAAACCCAAAAAACAAACAAAAGAAAGCGACGAGAGGCGCTTCAACCCCACCTTGAGCCAGCGAGGAGCTCGGGGGGGATGCGCAGGTAGAGCCAAGAGAGGAAATCCGGGCGAAGCAAAAAAAAAAAGATTAAAAACCAGAGCAAAGTGGAGCTTTCAGGGGGACCGAGACTTTCTGCGCCGCGCTTCGCGGGGGTTTAAATGAGCAAAATTCGGTGTTTTGTGCTGCGGACTGGCTGGGACGGGGGCACGCGGATCCTGCGCGGGGAAGGATCGATAAACTCCGCTTTTCTCCCTCAGCCAGGGCGCTTTTTTGGGCTCGTTTTCAGCCAGAAAAGGTCGGGCGCGGGGTGGGATGAACAAAAAAACGCAAGAGGGCACAATGCGGGGCGGGCGGGCGGAGCAGAGCGGAGGAGAAGGGAAATATTCCCGTTTTCCGTGTTCCATTTCCCATTTCCCACGTTCCATTTCCCATCTTCCATTTCCCGTTCCCCATTTCCCGTTCCTGCCCGGGGCGCGGAGTTTTGGGGCGCCGAGGGACGCGGAGCGAGCCCCGGGCTCCATCCCTGCGGAGCGGGCAGCGCTAATTGCCGCTAATGAACCCAGCGCGGAGCCGCCGAACTTGTCAGAAGCGATTTCTGCTGCCGGAGCGAGCCCAGCCCCGCTCCCTGCAAACTTGGCGCAAGAACCAAACTTTTCCTTTCCTTTTTCTGCCCCGTTCCCCCGCCCGGCCGCGCGGAACTCGGCGCGGAGCGCTCGGACGAGTCGCAAACCCAGGGGTTACAGTTCGGCGAGCGCGAGTAATTAACTTTTTACTTTCTTTTTGTTGTTCTTTCTCTGTTTTTCCCCGCTCCGCACCGTTCCGCCGGGGATCCGAGCGCGCTTTTTGGGGTGTAAATATAAAAATTTCGGCGCCGAGCTCCGGGGGAGGGAGAGGAGGAGGAGGAGGAGGAGGAGGAGGAGGAGGAGGAGGAGGAGGAGGGGGGAGCACGCGTTTATTTATTTATGAAGCTCGCAGCGCGCCGGGAGAAGGCTTCTTTCGGCAGATATTATATATTTGGTTAAGGGGGTGCCTTGCCGTTGTTTAAAAGGGAGGGAAGAGGGGGTGGACGGTTTGTTCTTGGGGGTCCCTGGTGCAATCTCAGCTCCTCATGGGTGCTATTTTGCAACCTCAGGCGCCTGCTATTGGTCAGCCCGTGATCAGATGGTTGTATTTCCTTGTGTCCCTCGCTGGCACCACGCCATCTCCCTTCAGCTAAAACCCAATCTCCGATATACCACTAATAGCTAAACCACTTGGACTATAAAACACAACAAATCATAAAGCCCGGGCAAAAAGGACGGCACGCACGCACACACACACACACACACACACACACACACACACCGCCAAAAAAAAAAAAAAAAAAAAAAAAAAAAAAAAAAAAAAAAAAAGAAAAAAAAAGGAAAGGAAAGGAAAAAAAAAAAAAAAGGGGGGGGAATCTCTCTCTCTCTCTCCTCTTTCCGATGAGTTCTTATTTTGTCAACTCGACCTTCCCGGTGAGCCTGGCGGCGGGGCAGGAGCCCTTCCTGGGACAGATCCCGCTGTACCCCTCGGGCTACGCGGATCCTTTGCGGCACTACCCCAGCACCTATGGAGCCGCGGGCGCGCAGGACAAGGGCTACTCCTCGTCCGCCTACTACCAGCAGAGCAGCGCGGCGTTCGGCGGCCGCGGCTCCGCCTGCGACTACGGGCCCGGCGGCTTTTTCCGGGACAAGGAGGCGGCGGGCGGCCCGGGCAGCCTGGACGAGCTGTCCCCGTTCGGCGCCGAGCCGCGCAAGCCGGACTGCGCGCAGGGCAAGGGCGCCTTCGGAGAGAGCGAGGAGCAAAAGTGTTCCGCGCCGGTTTACCCCTGGATGCAGCGGATGAACTCTTGCAATAGTGAGTTTACTCTTTTACAGAAATAAATGCGGCAATCTCCTCCCCCCCTTTTCTTATTTGTTACCGCCAGGGAGAGAGAGAGAGCGAGCGAGGGGAGCAGGAGGAAGGTTCACTCTGAGAGCCCAAACTTCCAGCGGGGGAACTTGGGCTCCAAACTCGCACCAAAACTTCCCAGCGCTCCAACATTTCCTCCCCCTCCACCCCGAGCTAGAAACGTTTCAACCCCAAAACTGAATTTCTGAATTTCTGCCCCCTCTCTCCTTATTTTTCTCTTATTCTTCCCCCCTTTTTTTGCCACATTCCAGTTCGCGTGTCACTCAGCTACAGCGATTTGTCTCTGTCTCTGCCCCACACGCACAGGGAGATATCTTTTCTCAATCAGATCTGGATGACTCTACACACACAGCCCCCACGCAGCTCCCTCTCTCTCTCTCTCTCTCTCGGAGCCAGAATTAAATGATATAAAAAGTGTTTAAATATTTGAAGGCAGTCGGTTGCATTTTTAATGCGACTCGCACCTAATGAAAAGTCTGCCTGGGGAGGATTTTCCTCATTTTTTCCCCCCCTTCCCCGGTGATATACGACTTCTTTAAGTGCTGTTTCCTCCATCCGAATTATAATAATAATTTTTTTTTAAATCAGCTAAACGGGGAGGGGGGAAGAAAAACAATCAAAGCCTCGCTGCTCTCCTTGCCCATGTTTAGATGCATTTGTTGCCTTTTAAGTTCCAAATTGATGTCCATTAGCGCGGGGACATGGAGTGTTGTGTCCTCTTTAATGCGGGCTTTGGGCAGATCGATCCACTTCATTATTGCTTAAATGCCCCGATCTATTAGGGCCGGCCGGCAGGCTGGGAGGCGGCGGGGGGGAGAACACCTTGCGATCCCTCATCCCGGAATAAAAAGATGGATCCGGCCTTGTCTGGCTGCCCAAAGCCCGGCTCTGACCCCCCTGCCCGGCCGGGCTTGTCCCGGAGCTGCGCAGGGCTCTGGGAAGGCGCGGCCCCCCCGCAGCACCCCAAAAATCAACCTCGCCTTCCCCCTTCACCCCTGCCCTATGTCCCCCTAGTTCCCCCTATTTCCTCTTATTTTCCCCCATTTCCTTTTATTTCCTCTTATTTCCCCCATTTCCCCTTATTTCCCCCTATTTCCCTCTATTTCTTCTTATTCCCCCCCATTCCCCCCCTATTTCCCCCCTATTTCTATCTATCCCCCCTATTTCCTCTATTTCCCGCTATTTCCCCCATTTCTTCTTATTTCCCCCCAATTCCCACTATTCCCCCCTTATTTCCCCTTATTTCCCCTTATTTCCCCCAATTTCCCCCTATCCCCCCCAATTTTCTTCTATTCTTCCCCATTTCCCCCTATTTCCCCGCATTACCCCCGGATTTTCTCCTATTTTCCCCCTATTTCCTCCCTTTTTTCGTATTTCCCTCTATTTTCTTCTATCCTCCCCCTATATATCCCCTATTCCCTCCATTTCCCCCTATTTCCCTCTTATTTTCCTTATTCCTCCCTATTTTCCCCCTAATTATCCCTATTCCCCCATACTTCTCCCCTAACTTCTTCTATTCCTCTATATTTCCCCCATAATTTTCCCTATTCCCCGCTATTTTCCCTATTCCCCCATATTTCCCCTCTAATTTCCCCTATTCCTCCATATTTCCCCCCAGTTTTCCCTATTCCCCCATATTTCCCCCCTGATTTTCACTATTCCCCTCTAATTTCCCTATTCCTCCCTATTTTCCTCATTATTTCCCCTATTTCCCCCTATTGCCCCCTTATTTTCCCTATTCCCCCCTAATTTTCCCTATCTCTCCCTATTTTCCTCATTATTTCCCCTATTTCCCCCTATTCCCCCCTAATTTTCCCTATCTCTCCCTATTTTCCTCATTATTTCCCCCCTATTTTCCCCATTCCCCCTATCCCACCTCTCATTTTTTTTAATTCCCATACCCTATTTTTTTATCCCCTATTTTTTTTTATCCCCTATTTTTTTTACGCCATATTTTAATTTTTTTGGGTTTTTTTTTCCCCCCGCAGGTTCTTCCTTCGGGCCCAGCGGCCGCCGGGGCCGCCAGACCTACACCCGGTACCAGACGCTGGAGCTGGAGAAGGAATTCCACTTTAACCGGTACCTGACGCGGCGGCGCCGCATCGAGATCGCGCACTCGCTGTGCCTGACCGAGCGCCAGATCAAAATCTGGTTCCAGAACCGCCGCATGAAGTGGAAAAAGGAGAATAAACTGCTCAGCTCCTCGCAGCTCAGCGCCGAGGAGGAGGAGGAGAAAGCGGCCGAGTGAACGGCGGAAAAAAAAAAAAAAAAAAAAAAAAAAAAAAAAAAAAAAATCCCACAGCAACAACAACAACAAACAGGAAAAAAACAAACCAGATTGAAAAAAAAAAAAAGCGCGACAACAACAGGAAAAAAAAGTTATTTAATAGGCGCAAAAAGCGATTAAAAAAAAATTTGAAATGTAGGGAGGAGGGTGTGGGCAGCCTGGGAGGAAAATCCCGCTCCTTGCTGGGAGTTTTTGCCACTTTGTGGCCACAAAGTTTGGGCCACCAAAGCTCCCGACTCGAATTTCCAATGATTTTGTCCACAAACAAACAAAACAACAACAAAAAATCAGGTTTTAGTCGCGTTTTGAGATTTTTTACCCTTCCCACACCTCCTTTTCCCTCCCGCTCCGCCCCCCCATAGAAGAAATTGAATAAGAATAAGAATAATAATAATTAAAAAGTGCAGAGATGGAGAGAGAGGAGGAGGGAAAGAAAGGGAAAGAGAAAAAAGGGGGGGAAAATTAAAAAAAAATTTAAAAAAAAGGACTCCTAGCCGTGTTTCTACCCTTGGTGTCACTGTTAGTAATCTGCTAACTCTTGTATTTAATGGAAGTGCTGCAATATATGTCATTTGGGGTGTTTCTTGTCCTAATTTTGTAAAAATGTTTCATGCACGGTTGGCATAAGTTGGGTTTTTT